GGAGAGAGTGAGAGAGTGAGCGAGAGCGAGCGAGCTACAGGGAGAGGGGGGGGGGGGCGTCCCCGACTTTACCGATGCGCATGGTGTGTTAGTTACACAGAAGGGCAAACACGTATACAGCCTGGACCAAGTTTGTACCGAACAACCGCGTTCTATAGTTCTGTAAAACATGCGAGGCCGGGCGCACCGGTCAGTGGGCATGCGCCCGAGCTCAGCATGGGGAATGCGGCGCCGGCCGTGCTCGTCTGCGTCGTGCCCGCCGTGCTCGCCTTCACCTCCCTGCGTTCCTCCGTCAATTCGTACGCCGTAAGTTCCCGACGAACCATCCAACTATCGTTACCGCGCGCCTCAGGGTGCCCACAGAAGTGAACGTTCCCCCGGTTAACATTAGTGAACTACCGGCGCTTGGACGCTCGGGGCGGGCCGCCGTCTGCACACAGCTGCTTGGCGGGCGGGCCTACCCTTCGCGTTGCAGGCGTCGAGTGATGGGCGTCGCCTCGGAAAACGTTTCCTCTGGGGGCAGCTCAATGATGATGGCGATATGAACGACTCGGACGAGTGTGTGTTCCCGCAGGGCCCGTACAACATCGTGTTCAAAGAGACGGCTCAGTGCCCCGCAGGCACCGTCGGCCCGGGCGGCGTGGTGGCCAACGTGACGGGCAACATCCACCACTCGAGGACCATCAAGGCCTCGGTGTTCGACGGCGCGCTCCTCGTGATGAGGGACGTCGGCGTCGGCGACCTCGGGGTGAGGACACTCTATGCTGCTGCATCGACGGGTGCCCCTGTTGCCCGGGGTAGACCATTTAGATTTTTAGTGTACATGGAATATCTGGAATATCTGTAATATTTATGGAATATTCGTACCTTTGAACTTTCTGGAATATTTTTGGAATATTTGGAATATTTTTTTGAATATATGGAATAGTTTTGGAATATATTGAACACTTTTGGAATATCTTTCACTGTGTACATGGAATATCCAAGTGGTCCACCCCTCGCTGTTGCCCCTCTCCTCCACTGATTCAGTAACTCGCGCCCAGCAGGTCAAAGTCGCCGTCGCCAAGTGGGACAGCGTCGCCGGCTGGAAGGAGAACTTCGTCCGCATGGACGGCGGCGAGTATTGCAACGTGCTGGTCACCATTGGGAGGGAGGCCGCTTCGGAGGTGAGCCGCCACAACCCCAAGTTCCCCAAGAGCTGCCCGATACCCAAAGTAAGTACGTCGCGGGCTTATCTTTGTTCAGTAGCAGATTTTCTGATCAGAGAGAAAAATGAAAAAAAAAGTACTTAAGCGGCTCGTTTTTGCTTCAAGATGACGTGAATTTCCTTGGAAAGCCAAAATAAGTAGTTGTGTATCTCATGTAGCCTACCAAAATATATATCAGATTCTTCCTATTCTGTCTTTTTTCTGCTCCAATAACATCGAGGGGTGCCCAACTGAGGTAATCAGGTGTACAGAGTGTAGGTAATCCCTGGTAATCACCGGTAATCATTGGTAATCACCAGTAATCATTGGTAATCGCCAGTAATCCTTGGTAATCACCGGGAATCCCTGGTAATCACCGGGAATCCATGGTAATCGCCGGTAATCCATGGTAATCACGAGGTAATCCCTGGTAATCACCGGGAATCCATGGTAATCGCCGGTAATCCATGGTAATCACGAGGTAATCGTTGGTAATCACTCGGTAATCGTTGGTAATCACCAGGTAATCGTTGGTAATCACCAGGTAATCTTTCCTAATCACTAAGTAATCCAGCAAGGAAATTCCTGGAAATCTTTGGTAATCACTGGTAATCTTTGGTAATCACTGGTAATCTCTGGTAATCACTGGTAATCTTTGGTAATCACTGGTAATCTTTGGTAATCACTGGTAATCTGTGGTAATCAATGGCAATCATTAGTAATCTCTGGTAATCTTTTGTCAGTGGTAATCTTCGGAAACCCTTGGTAATCATAGGTAATCTTTAGTAATCTTCGGTAATCTCTGGTAATCCTTGGTAATCATCACTTTTTGGTAATCAGGTGTACACGATTTTTTCGAGTTGGGCACCCCTCGAATAACATGATTGTTGCTTTTCAGGGTACGTACATTTTCAACAATCTGAGCTTCGATTTTTTACAACGCTGGGAACACTTTCCAGTCTTCCCCTACGGCCGGTTTAGAGGAGACATGCTTCTTTATGATATGAAATCCAAGCAAAACATAGTCGGATGTTTCAGAGGTGTCAGCGATATTGTTCCGAGAATGAAGAAAAGTTGATAATAAATAAGTTTTCCATCAAGGCACATATTCCAGCATATTCGAACACTAACCCAATTTGACAACAGAGACAGAGAGAGAGAAGCGCGTTTAAGTTCCCAGAAATACGTGAGGACGCAGCGTCTTATGCCATTGATTAGTTTGGACTTCCCTGTTGGAAAAATGTGTGTTTGTGCGTGTTCGTGTTCATGTATCTAGTTATATTTCTGGCAGGTGCGTGACAAAACAACGCCCCGTTATATCGACCCAAAAAATATGGGAGTATGTTCAAGTTTAAATCAATTGCTCATCAGATTAGTTTTATTTTGCAAAGTCAGAAGGATGAAGTGTTGAAGTGATGTCATCGTGCCTTGTTGTAAACACGCGAATCTCTCCACGCCAGGGCGCGGGTGCCCCGC